GTGATGGTTTCTCATCACTTTCATGGAAATAATCATTTTCACCCCCTTGTATCTCTACCTATGCTCATCTTGAAATTTTACTGGGATTAATGTTTCATCTAATAGTACTATTTGCCATAAAAAAAGTTTGAAATTCGAGGTCCAAAAAATGAACGAAATTTGCCATCATTCTTTTAAATATTTATATAATATAGAAATCTTAACCCTAGACTATCACACCATATTTACCACCCAAATCTACCACACTGAGTAAAATTTACCCGGCCTACCTATTTTATTGCGTAACTTTGGTTCAAATGCATCGATTTAGAACTTTTTTTTAAATCTATACGTCAGACAGTAAGAAAGGTGATTGAATGGATAATAACACTCAAAGATCTTAAGGACATGAACAATTTGCAAAAATTTGTAAATCAGCTTTTATATTTTTTCTGAAAAAGGCTAATTTTTCTTTTATATCGCAGTTCTTTTCAGAAGCGAATAAAAAAAAGCACAGTTTCTAAAAGAACATGAGTGGTATTTTTAAAAGAAAAATACCTCATATGGCTTCACTTTAAAAAACATTTATTTGACGGAGTGAACTAAATCGATTGTCGAACTTTACGCGTGGCTGAAATGGCAATACCAAATGGAATGACGTGGCTTATGGTAGAGGACACTTGTAAATTCCCCCTCCCCCCCCCCCATATCGCCACTCCACTTCTTTAACCCTGTCGGAATGACACGCACTTCAAAAATGGTCCGGGTAAATTTTATCCAGGTGTGGTAGTCTAGGGTTAAAAAAATGTTTAACCAGAAAAATCTTGAAAAGTACGTATTGAAGATTGCTCTGTATTTTTGGAAATTATATTTCTATCAGTATAGTAATTTTGTATATAACTATAAAAATCATTAGGCGGACCGAAATGATATGTTACCTAGTTGGGCGAACGATGTGTTTCCCGATGGTACAATGTACAACATCACCTTGTTGGAATACGATCTTCTTTCGGCGACTTCTCTGCAGAGACAATTGAACGGCGGAACTCTTTTGGGAGAGATTATCAGTAACTCGTTGAGCTATATAATAGGTGACATACCGAAGGAACGAAAAATGATGTTGTATAGCGGTGACGCAAGAAATATCGTTGGCGTGCTGAAGAATCTTGATCTTTGGTCCCCTCACATTCCCAACGAAGCGGCTGCGTTAATATTCGAACTATACTTCGATAACGACACGAATATTTACGGAATGAAGGTATTATACATGAATGAAGGTATAATACATTCTAGCTATTTGCTTATACATATGTATGTACATACCAGAGTTGGGTTAGAGTTATTAATTAAGAAGTTAAAAGTTAAATATAATAAAGTTAAATAGTTAATAACTTTTAACTTAACTCATTGTCAGCTAATTTTAAACGACTTAATTATTAACTTCAACTAATTATTTTTAAATATGTTTATATAAACTTGCAAATAAAATATTAAATTGATTTGATTTATATTGTAATTTTTTTTATTTATAGTAATTTTATTTTTAAAAATAGCGACATTTAAAGTTAATATAAATGACGTTTTTCAAAATTAACTTTTAATTTAATTTTTGTTAATTTAATCTTAACGCAAGTTTTAACTGATTGTGAGCTAATTTTTCGTTCATACAACTTTTAACTTAATTAATTTTGAAAGTCATTAACTTAATTTAGTTTTAGAAAAATGTTAACTTAGCTAACCCTTATACATATATATACTATTTATCGTTCAAATTATTTTATATTATCTTCATGTTTTTATATTTTTATTATTACAACTACTCGATTATTCGTTATTGTTATCTAAAAATGCTCCAGCTATCGCTAATAAACTTAAAACAATATTGAAATAATTTCAGATTAATTATTATACGGGAATCGATGACACGATGATCGTTCTGTCGCTACCAAACTGCACAGACATATGTCCACTACAGACTTTAATAAATGCCACTATCGATCTAATACCTCAGGACTCACGATCTTTATGTGGCTGGTTTATTAAGAGCTTAACGGAAGATTTGTCGGAGAAGAAGGAATTTAACTCGTCAAATCACAATGGATTTGTTTCGTATCAGAGCAAAACTTTAATATTTATTTCAGCTTTCTTTACAGTAATTGTTCAATATTTAAAGTAACCGCGCGTACACTAAAATTTTGTACAATAACTGGGGGGAAATAAATATTTTTTCTTTTACTTTTAAAAACAAACAAATTATTACTATTATTTGGGCCGTCCATATATTACGTAAGTATATTTTTGGCCATTTTTTATCTCCCCCCCCCTTCTCCATGTAAGCAAATGTTAGAATTTCTGAAACCCGGCCCCTCATAATTACATAAGATTTTCCCGATTATGCTCGATGTAAAGTTAATATTGCTTGTTTTTCATGAGCAGACAACCGTGGGAATTTCATACAGTAGGCCAATATATTGGATACTGGCGAAGTACCGAATCTTGTACCGAAAAATAAGTTTCATATTTCATATTAGTTCTGTACAGAATCAGTATTAAAATAACAATGTTATTACTGGTACATAGTACTGCGCCAGTATTCAGTACCCGAAATTGGTACTAGCCCAGTACTTTACCAATATTCAATTCCCACTTGGGCATGAAAAAACTTACGTAAGGATATGTACGACCCCCCTCCCCTCCCCATGTAATTATTTGTCAGAATTTGACTGATCCTCCCCCTCCCCCTGCTTACGTAATATATGAACGGCCCCATTATTAAAGAACATATTATTATTATTATTAATTAAATTAAACGGGATTTTAATATAGAAATATAAAATTCGAAACATCAAAGATGTTATCCTCGTGCTAGATTGCGAAATTAGTATATACGAAAACTACTTTTCGAGGAATTTCGCGAGTCTAAAATCCGTGAAAGCTATGGTACTGTTTTGCAAACCGTTTAACCATCATCTTTCCGCGGCATCCAGACATGCTCAAGTTTCTTATGAATGTAACTTATGTAACGCATTTTCCAAAGATCTGCGACGTGAGGTATCATTTTCTCCGCAGGCCAAGATCTTCGATCGCTCGGTATAATCGTACGATATTTTCGTAGATCAGTGATGTTTAACGTATAAAATACAAGATGCAATTATTGTATCCTAACACAATCGCATTTTTTAATTTTCTTTGTTTTGATCAGCAGGGGAATAAAGCGATTTTAATTTCGTTATCAAGTAATCAGTCATTTTGACATATATCGACAGCGAATTCCAAAATTCCGTTATTATAATATTTATACGCTATGTATCTACACGTATGTCTAGAAAGAAGATAATTTATTGTATCGCATAACTGTATAATTGTATCCCATAATTATGCAATACTCTATTTATCTAAATAATTTTAAGACGTTTCTTTAATAATATTAGTTTTATAAACATATACACTCCTCCCCAAAATTAAAGGATCATCTATTCTGATCGCTAAAAATAGGCAAATTTCAAAAGAGTGTAACTTCGTCAAAAAAGATCGTAACAGAATGATCCGAAAAGCATTTTACAGAGATCGGAAGAGCAC